CCCCCCCCTCTCTGTCAGCCGGCCTTTAATCCGCGCCTGCCCTCACCCCTCCCCTCCCGCTCCCCTACCAAGACGGGCGCCGAGTAGTCCTTTTCTAAAGGTCCAAAGAGCTCAAAAGAGAAAGCGCGGTGTATGACCATGACCGAATAGCAGGGCTGGGCAATACCTACTACCTACAGTACCTAGGTAGTACCTAGGTAGTACTGAACAACGTGGCGTACTGAAAATACATTCTTCCTTTACCGATACGAGGTACTTTTCAGAAACAGAAAAACAGCAAACTGTTTTGTTAGGTGCTGCTCAAAGAATTTTTAAAAGCCGAGCATCGGCTAAATACCGGTTAGACCGAGAGAGCTGGAGCATGCGTGAAACAAAGGTGGATGCGCGACAATTTTGTAGACCCCCCCCCCTCCCCGGGCCCACACCAAGGTCAACGACGCGTCGGGGCAACACAGCTGAGCCCAGCTCCAGCTGAGCGCAAAGATTGTTTTGATGCTTTCCTTTTCCAGCCCCCGCATCCCCCTCTCCTTGCAGTCATCTGGTCTGTTGCTATGAGCCTGTCCGAGCCTGTCTCCCGGGCCCCGGGCCGCGCCAGGGCATGTCCTTAAGCAACATTTACTAGCTGCATGCCCGGCATTCCGGGTGCAGCACGCCCACCGAGGAGGGGCGGCAGGTCAGTCTTGAGCCGGCCCCCGTCAACAGCTGCTGGGGGCTCGTGCGGGCACGGGAGAGGGGAAGGGTGGGGCAGGCTAGCCGCGCCCCGCCGGCCCGGCTCAGCGTGGTGGTGCACTTGTTTGCGCGGGCTGACGGAAGGTGGCACACTGTTAAAAGGGCAGGGGTTGGGGCGCGGGGCGCGAGGAACAGCGCTTCGAGATTCAAGGGGCTCAAGTGGGGTCGGCCGGCTGGCTCATTATGACCCGGCGCGGGGCGCGGCACGAGGTGAATGCTGGAAAGTGTTTACAACTCCGGCAGAGCGATGACAGGGGGGACTGCCACCGGGCTTGGCACGGACAAACGGACGGAAAGCCTCCCCCGTGATGCAGGAGCGTCGCGGCCGGGCGAGTCCCGAAACTTTCGACGCGGTGCGCAATCCGATTGCGTTCGGGGCGGGGGACGCGGTGTTAGGTGTAACGTGATGCGTCACGCGCGCCACCCGACTGTTTGCCTAAATCAGCTATACTCACAAGTGCAGCGGGCCGCGCGCTCACTCATCACGAGTGCGCTCGCCAGTCTTTAACCA